CTTCGACAGCTCTTTGGTCTTCACCATAGTGGAGTTTGGAGTGTGACTGTTTGAGGTTGTGGACAGGTGTCATGTATACTGATAACAAGTTCAAACAGGTGCCACTGATACAGGTAATGAGTGCAGGACAGAGGAGCCTCTTAAAGAAGAAGGTACAGGTCTGTGAGAGCCAGAAATCTTGCTTGTTTGTAGGTGACCAAATACTTATTTTCCACCATAATTTGCAAATAAATTCTTTCCAAATCAGCCAATGTGATTGTCTGGATTTTTTTTCTCATTTTGTCTCTCATAGTTGAGGTCTACCTATGATGCCAATTATAAGCCTCTCTCATCTTTTTAAGTGGGAGAACTTGCGCAATTGGTGGCTGACTAAATACTTTTTTGTCCCACTGTATGTGCATGGGGAGGCCATATTTGTTAATTGTATATGTAGACTTCCTGCCTTGCATTGCTACACAAATAAAGTGAATTATTCTATAGCAATGTGAATTAATGCTCCATCTCTCAATGAAAATCTCTGAATTGAACAACTCATTCAAACAATGTACACCCTATACTACAAATGTATTTTTGCTGCAGCAGCTAAGAGACAGGCAAATTAATTACACTGAACCACCAAAACCCCCTCTAACCTCAAAATAATTATATTTAATACAATATGATAGCTATGAAAGAGCACAGAAATGTGAAATCATTATAAAAAATATTTAAATGCACACATTGCAAAGAAAACTCAAAATATGTATACAGTGAAAATGTTCTATACATTTCCTTTATTCCCTCCATACCACCAATCTGCAGATGGATGTTCTCAAGCACAATTTCCCACACTGAGAGAATGGTAATCTACCTTTCATCTGAGAACTATGATATGCAGGTCTCACAGTAGGGACTTAAAACCAAACAGCGTGGTTCTTGATCATGTGATCATTGTTTACATTGTTTAGAAACAAACCTGTCAGTTGTAGATGTCATTGTGTCTTTATGAACTTACTGTGACAGCAGACAAAGCAACAGTTGCAACTGAAACCAGTGCACTACAGTATGGAAAATTGTTTTTAATTTGGTACAGTGCTAACAAATTTTCTTTTCGATTATAAGCTGAAAAAAATGAAAAAATTCATTTCTAGCATCGTAGACATCCGAAACAAATAATTAAAGCTATAAAAAAATCAAACCCTTTTTAAAGAGGAGATCCTAGCCTAATGTAAATGAATATTTTTCTTTAACAGTTTCTTTTATTTTGTCTTTGGGCTGGTTCCTAAGCCGCCATGCAGGCCGGCAAAAGTGTCACTGCACACAGAGCTCCGCCCCAATTTCTCCTGTCAACAGTTTGACTGACAGTTCATTTACAGCGGTTGGATCAAACATTGGTATCTTTATTTGTTTCCATTTAGGAATACAGATGTTTTTATTCTGAAATACCAATAGTTACAATGTTATTTTGCAACCGCTGTAACCTGTGAAGGAACTGTCTGAGAACTGTCAGAAATTTAGCGGAGCTCTACTGCAGATACACTGTTTTGCTGTACTGCAATACTTTGCTCTTAGTGAATTCTTTTCTTTAACTTTGCAAAGAATCTTCTTGACTTAAAACAAAACAGCTTTTTTTCTTCTTTTGGAGGGCATTCAGAGCTTCTCTTTCATAAATACTTTCTTTGCTTCCAACCTTCAACATTCTTTTCATTCTTCTTTCAATCATTCTAACTTCTTCTTCTTTTCATTCTTCTTTTCATTCTTCTTCTTCACTTCTTTCTCCCATTCTTCATTTGCATTCTTTTCTAAATATAAACTCTTCCTTTTCTCATTAGCTTATAGCAGTCTTTCAATTCTTCAGTTTCATTCTTCTTGCAGGAGGAGTTTTCATTCTTCTCTTTTCATTGCTTCTTCTCTTCTTCAGTGCTGATTCTTCTTCTTCTTTGCACCTTCATTCTTCTTCACACTAAACAGAGCATTACTTGACTTCTTCTTCAGCAGATGGACTTCAGTTCTTCTAATGGGAGGATCAGAGAAGACTTCTTCTTCTTTTCATGTGGAGGATTCCCTTAGGTTCTTTTATAACATTCTTCTTTATACACAGACTGATTTTTCTTTTCATTCTTCTTCAAGTCTTCTTTGCATTCTTCTTTTCATTCTTCTTCTTGCTTCTTCTTCTTCTTCTTCTTCTTTTCATTCTTCTTCTTCTTCTTCTTTTCATTCTTCTTTTCATTCTTCTTCTTCTTCTTCTTTTCATTCTTCTTTTCATTCTTCTTTTCATTCTTCTTCTTCTTTTCATTCTTCTTCTTCTTCTTCTTCTTTTCATTCTTCTTCTTCTTTCTTTTCATTCTTCTTCTTCTTCTTCTTTTCATTCTTCTTCTTTTCATTCTTCTTCTTCTTCTTTTCATTCTTCTTCTTCTTTTCATTCTTCTTCTTCTTCTTTTCATTCTTCTTCCTTTTTCATTCTTCTTCTTTTCATTCTTCTTCTTCTTCTTTTCATTCTTCTTTTCATTCTTCTTCTTCTTCTTTTCATTCTTCTTCTTCTTCTTTTTCATTCTTCTTTTCATTCTTCTCATTCTTCTTTTCATTCTTCTTTTCATTCTTCTTCTTCTTCTTTTCATTCTTCTTTTCATTCTTCTTCTTCTTCTTTTCATTCTTCTTCTCATTCTTCTTTTCATTCTTCTTCTTTTCATTTTTCTTCTTCTTCTTTTCATTCTTCTTTTCATTCTTCTTCTTCTTCTTTTCATTCTTCTTCTTTTCATTCTTCTTTTCATTCTTCTTCTTCTTCTTCTTCGTCGTGCCCCGTGACTGCCCAAATGAGTGAAGTTGTGCGGTGATTCTAAGATCGACGGCACTCATCTGCATGTCATACTAACTGACAGTATTATTTCTCTTCCCCAGCAGGCTCCAAGGGCATTTAAATTAAAGGTACAGTGTTCTGCACTAATATAAAGGCTCTCTGAAGCCTAGAAACCCTTTAAATAAGTTAAATTTGCGGCGAATAAATTCGCATCGAATCGAATAAATTCGCATCGAATCGAATTTCTCCCGCAAATTCGGCGAATCAGCCGAATCGAATTTTTGAATAATTCGCTCATCTCTAATTGTGTCTTTATGAACTTACTGTGCACAGACAGACAAAGCAACAGTTGCAACTGACAACTCTCATTGTGCACTACAGTATGGAAAATTGTTTTTAATTTGGTACAGTGCTAACAAATTTTCTTTTCTTTTTTATTATAAGCTGAAAAATGAAAATAATGCATTTCTAGATATCGTAGACAAGCCTGAAACAAATAATTAAAGCTATAAAAAAATCAAACCCTTTTTTAAAGAGGAGATCCTAGCCTAATGTAAATGAATATTTTTCTTTAACAGTTTCTTTTATTTTGTCTTTGGGCTGGTTCCTAAGCCGCCAGCCCCCCTGCCTGTTTGTGGGTGTCTCCTGCTTAGAAGACACTCTTGTGTGCACACCCCCATTCATAAACACACACAGTGCCCAGAAAGCTACGCCCCAACTCTCTCCTCCTGTCAACAATTTGACAGCAGAAGGAGCTGATGGCTCCCCTGCCCTCAGTACCTGCTTCCAGATAAGGAACGTGGTGTGGATCAGTGGTTGACAACAGGTCACAGGTAAGTGTTTAGGGATGGGGGCTGTGGAAATGTACCAGGGTGTTTTTTGCCCTAATACAGAGAATGCATTAAGGTAAATTATGCTGAGCATTTAGTACCACTGTTAAATATTATTTTGCCATGAGAGAACAGTGGAACCTGATGCTTAGTTGTTAATGCTGTCTGAGTCTGTAACCCCAAACAAATTTAGAGATAATGGGACTGATTTACTAAAGCCAAACAGGCTGTTCATTTGCCAAACAGGCAAAGGAATTTGCTCAAGAACTTAGTGAATGTAGTAAAATTTAACTTTGCAAAGAATACCTACAAGCTTGGAAAGAACATAAAACAAAACAGCATTTTTTCTTGCATAAGATTGGATGATGGAGGGCAGCAGAGCTTCATCTCATTCACTAAACTTTCCTTTTCAAAGAGCAACCAACCTTGCAACATGAACAGCCTATGTGCCGTTTAGTAAATCAATCCCAATGAATTCTAACAAGTTACATCATTTTTGTTCTGGGTCTCGAACTCAAAAGTACGTACAGTGTTACTAAACCCAGCACCCTGTATTCACTGTATTTGATCTCCCACAGTATGTAGAACATGGAATTGCAATTATTTTAGTAAATATAAACTGCTAAATACCTTTTCTCATTAGCAGTATATAGCAGTCTTGTGAATTCTATCAGTTTCCGACCGAGCACTGGTTAAAGCTTGCAGGAGGAGTTTTCATTCTGCTCTGTCTTATGAGGCTGCATAACCCCTGACTCTCTGTCTAGACAGTGCTGATTGGCCCTGTGCTGATCACATGCACCCTCCCAAAGAAAAAAAAACTCTCTAGCAATACACACTAAACAGAGCATGTACAGAGTGACTCCTAGGGCTCTGTACTATCAGCAGATGGACTGGGGACAGTAGAAAAATGGGAGGATCAGAGAAGACAGCATCAAACATCCTTTTTACACAATGTGGAGGATTAAACCCTTAGGTTCCACGGTGAGTATAACAATAATGCTTTACTGTATACACAGACTGATTTTACTGTTGTGGGTTTAGTAACACTTCAAGTCTGGCAACTTGCATTTCATAACTAGGCCAGCTATGTCTACCCCCATACTTCTCTCTTGCAATAATCACTTTAAATACCTATATAGTATGTCCTTAAAAAAGAAAAACTATTTAGGCAGGCAAATTTGTCATAATGTTATAGTTGTAGAGTTATTGTCAAGTTACTGTGTGTAATGACACTGCTAAATTGGTCCAGGCATCTAGTTTTTAATGGCCTATGGATGGTAAAGGAGGTTTAGGATAAGACATAACCCATCTGATTCCAATAACTACTATTGCAAGCATTTTTGTTTTTATTATTTGTGCAACTAGTGCTGAAATTAATTATTTGTGTTATTTACCTTGAGTTGCTCTAGTTTTCTGTGTACGATATTTGCTGTTTCATCATGAGATTGCTGAATGATAATTTCTTCCCTGAGTGCAACCTCTGCTCGATATAACCAGGAGCCAATAGTTCCCAAAGGAGCAGGTAGGGATTTATCAAGTTGTACATGCCAATCAAGAATCTGAAATAAAGTCACATGACATATTATTCTTAATACTATCAAAAGGTTCACGGTATTTATGCAAATCCAATATATGAAAAATATAGATCTTGAGTAATAAGTCAAAAAACAAAATCTTTCTGACCACTGTACTGACCTACTACATATACTAGGCCTTAGCCCAGCATAGTTCACCATTAATTAAAGCAGAAATGATATTGGCCAACTCAGGAGATTGAAAATGAATGCTTTCCAAATAGGTTAGGCATCGTTGTAAGGCATTATTTTAGTATAATAAACTATACTGGATTTGACAACAACACATTTTTACCCAAAACAGCAAAAAGAATACTGTTTTTTTTCTGACACATAAGTTGTATAACTATTGTAAAATTTTAAACACCTACCTGCACCTAAACAAGATGTGCATTGATCATGTAGTTTCACGCTGTCATTTGTTGTGCTGTGTGCCCCACCACATTCCAATATCAAAAATGTGTTTGTTTGAAACATAAGGAATGCTGCATGGCACTGCACAAGTTAATGCATGATCTTCATCAGTAACCTAAGAACTGACACTTCCTTTGAAGAAACTATATATCCCACAATCCCTGGGCCACTCAGTCCATTGCTTTTCAGGTGAGAGCAATTAACAGAGTTTACCATGCTGGAAGAGATGGGTGCTATGTTACCCGGAAAGAGAAGAGGCTCATATTTTGTCTGATTTCTGATGAATTGCCTGAAATTTGAGCCACATGTGGCTTTGTCAGCACCACCCAGCTCTACAAAAGTCAAAATTTCCACTGATCTGGATGATTTTTTTAACAGTGACTGCATCCTCTCAGGTGTAGTCACTGTTCCGGTATTCAGACAGGTGCGGGTCTTAATACAATAGCTCACAAGGGAGATTCCTCAATGGGACTGAACAAGAAAAATCTAGCGATGTATGGCCAGTTTTAGACAAACTTTTCAATCACATGCCTTCATTTTGACAGAGTATTTTTTCAATGTTACTGTAGTTTCTTATATTTCAATAAAATCACCATCACAGAAGCTGATGGTGGAGAGGACAGGCGCAGAGAGTACAATGGGATCTCATCTTGTGGGGACACAAGACAGAGGAGAGGGTGAATGAAACATTTATACAATGGGGTATTTAAAGAGGATTCTTGGAAGGAAGGATGTGCAAGAAAAGGATCTTCCTCCTGTGTTAGATACTACAGTTCAGTTAGTTTCCATCGGTACTCTTGGTGTTGACTAAATGTCACATCCTGATTGACATGAATTTTGGAAGTCTGATTCAAACACTTGAAGAGGAGTCTAATCCAGTTCCATTAGTGCTGGGGACACTGACACTGCAGGTTTGCTGCTTGGAGCTCTGTCCTGGGAAGTGCTTTTCTGTACACAACTTAAGTGGTCTTGAGAAGCGCTTAGACGGGCCTCAGTTCTGGTGGTCCTGGGAGGTAGCATGACTTTTGCTGGTAGTCATGTGTCATTTGTGCAAGTACCAACTTTCCTTTATCCCATGGATATAGTATAATGCAACTTATTTCACCCCTCCCATTTACTAAGCAAAATGTATGTTATCATGCGAGAAAACATGTTCTAACCTATTTTACTCAAGTTTGCTGCCCCTGCACTGCAAGGATTAAATGCTGGTTTAGGTTTAGGGGGTTGCAAAAAGCAGTTTTATTTACACGATCCTCCTCTCCAGCCGGCTCCCTCCAGGCTGTTAAACTGGCTCCCACAGCCCCCCCCCCCCCCCCCCAAGCTCTAGCAGTTGCAGGTTGTCTGTTATCATCAAGTCTATAGTAGAGCCCATAACCCTGCAATCGACATGAGAACAGATCACTGCCAGAGCATAGGGGAGTAGAGAAGAGCACCAGCTGATGTGGGAGCAGAGGACCTGCGAAGCATTTCTCCATTTCCAGGAGATGAGCGTTAGGTCGATCACAGCCAGGCAAGCAGCATTTTCTTCATTAGGCCATAAATGGTGGCCCCCATACTTCCTTGCAACGTGTCACTTTAAGAATGTAAAACTGTAGTGTTGGGAAGATGGTAAAAATGGAGCACTGTAGAGTGAGTCTGGGTATAGTCCTTCACCAGGATTAGTTGCCATGTATATGTTATTTTCATTTTGCTGGCTGCTTACTACATAAATGCCAAGAGAGCTCATTATATCCAATTTAGCAACATGCTTTTCAGATGGCCAAATTCAGTCTCTTTCTTGTATAGCTGAATATCATAATCAAGTAGAAATATAGATAAAAGGTAAAATGCAAGACCAAGTCAACAAGTTCATCAATAACCTGATACATATAGATTACAGAAAGTAACATACCCTTGCGGAAACTTTATCCCATGCTTGTTTCAGCATTGTCTGATCAAGTGATAATTTTCCATCTTTGCTCAATGGATGAAAAACACTTTCAACTTGCTTTCTTTTCATTTCATACTGGACTCTATATTGTTTAAATGTCTACAGGAACAAAAAAATGATAGTGTGCATTTAGGGAACAAACACAATAAAAAAAAAGCCTAAGAAAAAGAGCAATATTCATTACTAAACCAAATGTGTGCATTTGCTGAACACCTGGAACACCTCATTTCTACTTAAAAAAATGGAACTCCAAATTCATAAAGTGGACAGAAACAGCAATACAAACCTGGCAGAGGTTCTAACTCTTCCCGATATAAAAGAAAAGATTATAACTGTAGGTGTCCCCTCTGCTGCCCAGGAAGTGGAGAAAAATCTCACCACACAGCAATAAAACATGACAAAGGGGGGGGGGTTAACTATTTCAGTTTTTCTGGCATTCCAAATAAAGGGTAAAAAGTTCTTTAACTATTTCAGTTCAGTGCTTATTTTAACTCACAGAATGCAGACATATGCAGTGGCAGTTTCAGTTTAGCTCAAGATAATGGAGGCATATTGTTATACCTGATATTTGTCTTGTAAGCTGCTTTCAACTGTTTGCGCTCTGATGATGTCTCGTTCAAACTGTTCGATCCAAACTTTTAAGTCTCGAAGCATCAGTCTTTCTTCCTTCTGCCAAAAACATATCACAGATATCCTCAGAGGAGTATTGTCATAAAGAAGATTTAGATTGTATCCTTTGGTGGGCTCCAATGGTTGGCCCCAGGGTTGATGGTAAACCTGAGCTAAAACACTAATACGACCTTCAACTACAGTAAGTTAAATCTAGACGTCTACTGGGACATCTTGTTAAAAATGACTAAAGCTGGCCACAAACTGGTAGATTTATTAAAGAACATTTGTACAAACATTTTTACAAAAATTCTCATCAATACTTTTGATGACTTGATGAATGTCGACCAAATGTACCTAAAGTGGTATTAAAGCATTTTTTAATAACAACTGTGTCATACTTACCTGCACCGTGCAGTTGTTTTGCACAGAGCAGCCCCGATCCTCTTCTTGGAGCTCCTGGCCCCTCCCTCCTGCCTAGTGCCCCCAGAGCAAGCAGCTTACTATAGGAACCTAAGCAGGCAATTTACAGAACACAGTAATTTTAGTATCATGGTTTTTAATGTGGAATGTATGTTCTTTTGATAAAGAATATTAATTGTGGTCAGATTGTTATGGGTGAAGTTCGACTTTAACATGCAAGCAGCCTATGACAGATTTATGTTACATGTAAACAGTCTCAGACAGTCTTTTACAACATATGAGCATATGTTACATGCAAGCAGTCTGAAAATATTTGTAATGTTTATAACAGTAGTTTTGTAAAATGAGCAGTCTCTGTTGATCTTTGAATTATAACAGTGGATCGCAGGAAGGGTCAGCTGTTCTGCTACTGAAAAACAAAATGAAAACTTTTGAATTAAAAAAATAATTTCCCCTAAACTAGGCTTTTATTTCTGTACTGACTTGGAATAAGTTATTTACCATAGTCCCTTAGTAATCCCTGCCAAATTGTTTCTACAGTGCACTGTGCAAAATTGTACCTGTGGTGCAGAGGCTCTTAACATTTGGTCCATGGACCCCTAAGTGGTCCATGGATGGGTGTCAGGGTTTCAAGGTGTCCGTCAGGGTCAGATACAAAATAACATTTACTATACAGCCACCCTCCACTTGTCCCAATGGTTTCCAATTAAAAGAAATGAAAGAAAACTACATCCAGCCACTTCTCATATCGCCAACCGCGATATTGTTGACTCATTGTTAGCCCCTATTTACTATTTAAATTTCTATCATCTTTCTCTGCACAACTGCCATCTTGTTCCACTACATAACAGCAAGGGCTAATTCTCATTTTTTTAGTAGTAGTAGTAGAAGATTTGAGCAGAATTTAAATTATTTTATTTAATTTACACAAGATAACTGTATTCCATTTTTGTAATGAGTGACCCCTACTTTTTACATGAAAAGAGTTTTTTTGTTAAAGAGTAACTCCACTTTTGTAGCAGGGGATGCAAAAAATCTGACGTGTATCTTAGTGCAGACTTCTGGGAAAATCAGTAAGCCAATCACTCAAGCAGGAAATTACATTTTCAGTGGGTGTTCTGTACATCATCTGTGTACACAACACCTCCAGGTAGCCATATTGCATTGAATTTTACATAAAAATTACAGTACTGCAGATTGAAAAGGAAAGGTGATTTTTAATAACATTCAATTGCAATATGACTTGTGTCGCAATTGTATACACTACATTATTTTTTTTATTACAGTATTTGCTATTTTTTCCCACGAAAGTGGAGTTACCCTTTAACCACATCTTTAACGCACTATAGCCGAATGACGGCTACAGCGTGGTTGTCCAGTTCTGGGAGAGCGTCATATGATGTCCTCCCAGAGCGCGCCCTCCCACGCACCACTAGCGGCATGCACTCGGTGATCTCCATGATCGCTGTGTCCTACGGACACAGCTGATCAAATTATGAGGTAAAAGGCCAATCACAGCGGCCGTTTAACCACGTGATCAGCTGTGTCCAATGATACAGCAGATCCCAGAGTAAATACAGTTGCCGGTTATTGGCAGCACTTTCCTCACGCTGTCACAGCATGAGGAAAGTACTGCCCATAACCGGCAGCTGTCACAGAGCAGATCAGTCCTGATCATCAATGCCCTTCAGTGCCGCCCAGCAGTGCCACTCACCAGTGCCATTCACCAGTGTCCTCCTGTGCCCAGCAGTGCCACCCATCAGTGCCCAGCAGTGCCACATATCAGTGCCCCCCATTAATGTCACCCATCAGCGCTGCCCAGCAGTTGCACCCATCAGTGCCCATCAGTACCGCCAGTCAGTGCTGTCAGTCAGTGCCATCATTCAGCGCCACCCGTCAGTGTCACCTATTAGTGCCCAGCATTGCTGCATATCAGTGCAGCATCATCAGTGCCTCCTTATCAATGCCCATGAGTGCTGCCTATCCGTGTCACCTCATCAGTGCCCATAAGTGCTGCCTATCAGTGCCCATCAGTGCTGCCTATCAGTGCAGCCTTATCAACGCACATCAGTGAAGGAGAAAAATTACCTGCTTGAAAAATTTTATAATAGAATCAAAGAAAAACTTTTTTTCAAATTTTTTGCTCTTTTTTTTTGTTTATAGTGCAAAAAATCAAACACCCAGTGGCAATTAATCTCCCTGGCGGTATAATTATTTCAGATTTTTAGTGCTGAAAGCGGTACCATTATTTTGCATGGAAATTTGGCATTTTATATTGTAGGCCTGTAATTCTTAGGAATAACTCACTGAAATCTGTCCAAAGAAGAGTCTAGTAAACATTCCGGATATGATAAAACTTGAAACACGAAATCATAAATTATAATTTAATAAATAATCATAAAAAATATTATAATAATAAATGTAATTCAATAATATAATCAAACCAAAAACACTGAAATTTGAAATATAGCACCAAGTTCACACATCACTGAGCAATGTATGTTATCTCTAGCAAAATATAAAAAATCAAATGCTTGCAGCATGGATAGGGTAATTTTCCTCTCATATGGTGGCCAAAGTTGCCTAGCAACATCTTCTGCTAACTAAAAAAGGACTGGAGACTATCGTTCAAAACCTCCTACAGAACGATTAAAAATACTAATGTAACACTTAGGTTCTCATTAATGTTAGCCACCATATTTGATGCATTTCAAATATTGGGCATTGCGAAAATGGATTCCTCCTTCCTAAAGTACACATGTATTTGAACGTACAACATATTAGCATGTATTTCTGTTGAAAAAGCTGCCATCAGAAGGTGATTAGTTTATCTAGGCAGGCTGGATAGTTACACCTTGCTTTTGCATGGTCACTGCCATCTGTTTCATGCTGCTGGCGGGTGGATACCATTTGCTCAGACTGAGTGACCATATGGTAACCCTTACATTTTCTTAGATACAAGTGAAGACAGCTAAAACATGAAATCATGATCTGATAGAAAGGATTATATTTTTTTAACAGCAGCTGTATATATGTAGGTGCCAGTTGTGACGTAAACGCAAGATAAACAAAACCGTACATGAGACTGATCTGCTGGTATACAAACTTTCAACATGAAATTCAGTTACAATACATAGAAGTGTAATGCATAGTTCTTACATAAGAATATCCTGTTAACAACACATAGGAGGACTCTGGCTGCCTTTCTTCACTTTAGCAAGATATAGGTAAAGGGAGGTACAAATTATCACCTGGGAGGGGGGAAGTTAGTAATACATTCATCTTCTATTGTTGCTTGGGTAGAGGAAAGAGTCAAACATACTGGAAAGGTAGGTAACCTAAGCTGGCCATGGATGGTTTTGAATCTCGGCAGGTTCAGCAGGGACTGACTGAGATTTGAACCATGTATGGGCAGATTGATTGTACCCAAGTCGATTGTTGTAGGACTTGGGTGCAACCAGCATGTTGCATTTTACATGCGATTATTGCTAGCGGCTATCATGTTCTCCCGGCGTGGAGGGAGGGGGAACCAAGAGAACACAATAGCTCACCGGGAGGGATTCCCCCAACAACACTGACTGTGTTGATAGGGGAATCAAATTATTTTCTTTCCTGCAACCCATGGTTGAAAAAAATAGAAAATCACATGTATGCTGGGGGTGATACTGGGGCTGAAAACACGCACAGCCTGATGCTGGCAAATTGGGATCAAAGGATAGATTTGAATTGCTGTGTGAACTCACATATGACTAAAGGGAAATCATATATTATACAAAATGATATATTTCCTACAGAAAGTTATAAAGGACACGGTAAGTCAGTTCATGGGGGCATATTTATAAAGCAGTGTATGTTACACTCACCAAAAACCAGTTGTGCTCAAAAGTTTACTACCCTGGCAGAAATTGTGAAATTTTGGCATATATGACTGATCATGCCAAAAAATACTCTTTTATTTAAGGACGATGATCATATGATGCCATTTATTATCAAATAGTTGTTTGGTTCCTTTTTAAATTATAATGATAACAGAAATTCAGAATACCAATTAGAGGTTAATGTCCCACATCTGTGGCTTTTTAAATTGCAATTAGTGTCAGTGTATAAATAGTCAATGAGTTTGTTAGCTCTTACGTGGAAGCACTGACTAGGCTACATACTGAGCCATGGGGATAAGAAAAGAACTGTCAAAAGTCCCGCGTAACAAGGTAATGGAGCTTTATAAAGATGGAAAAGGACATATAAAGATGTCCAAAGCCTTGAATATGCCAATCAGTACTGTTAAATCACCTATTAAGAAGTGGAAAGTTCGGGGATCTCTTGATACCAAGCCAAGGTCAGGTAGACCAAGAAAGATTGCAGCCATAACTGACAGAAGGCGGCGACCATCACCACGCTCCGATAACAGACCCATGCGATACGTCACTGTCCCGTGACTTCATCAGGGTCAATGAAGTCACAGGACAGTGACGTAACGCATGGGTCTGTTAGTGGAGCATGGTGATGGTCGCTGCCATTTTGGTACACCCTAGAAGCATAAACCTATATCAATACATGTGTTTGAGGCCTGATTTCAACTGATGTGATGTAAGTGTTGATTTGGCATTTCTCCATTAAAGTTTTTGCTTTAAAATTAC